CTTGAGTATGACCAAAGTAAATGCTCAGCTTCAGTATTTCTACGCAGACCATTTTCTGCTCTTCTCTCCCTCCTGCTGCAGCAAACCTCCTCAAAAGTTCTCTTTCTTAAGAAATTATTTGCTGCAAAATAAAAGCTAATGAGACTCCTCGAAGAGATGAAACCGCCTCCATTTCAACTTCAACATCTTGAGGCTCAGACCACTCTTTGAAACCAAGGATTTCCAATTCACATGCTGCCAAAGATTTGCTGAGGATAACAGCCTCCTCACCTGCCCAGTCAGCAACATTGATGGTGGGTGTTCATCTCTGCTGCTTCAATGAAGGCCACATCACTTCAGCTCACATTATCACTGAAATGGGTTTATGCAGAGATATTTAACTTTGAAGTGGAAGGGCCAGGGCATGCATTACTTTCCATGACTTACCGGAGCTCATCTGTTGATGCCTCTAGGCCCAGATATGCAAAGTCACGTGGGCACTAAACTCTGCTGAAATGTGGGGGTAAATACTGCCTGAGCCCGAACTCATGCATAAACCTCACTTGATTTTGATGGTGTTTATACCCTAGTCGATAGGATGTGCTCAGGGCCTCAGCCACTTATGGGCATTTAATTGAGAATTCAGACACAATTCTGCAGACAACTTCCTACATTTTGATATAATTTGTTAGTTTGTTTTAGAAACAATCCTGCAGTTAGCACAATTCCACCTGGGAAGGAGCATGTGTGCTGTCTTCCTCTCCCAGGCCCTGGAAATATCAAGAAACATAGTGATTTCAAATATTTTAGAAACTCTGTGTCCACAGCAATGACTGCATTTTAAAACTTTGTTGGCCATTTATTATTTACAAGAGCATTTTAAAGGGTAAATTTCAGATCACAGAAACCTGTATGTTAATTGCCGAAGAGTTCATTTGAAGATATGGTTTGAAGGCCTCTTATAGGAATTCGGAAGAGAAAAGGATGTCCTAAAAAGTGAAGCCAAGTTTTTCCCAGTGCGTTGTACAGGTACAGCACTATCTTGCTGTGAGTTCATGGCAATGAAGGCAGTAAGGAAAAAGAAATACAAATGCCTTAAATTCTGAAAAGCAATCTCTGACTTGAAGTTCGTGTTTGTGTGGCAGATTGTCAAATCACGGTCAGTCCCAACCACTGAATTTCTACACGCATTAAGCAGCAGCCCTTGTGGCAGCACATATTTTATACTCCTCTCTGTCCTGAAACCCCACAATTTTCCATTTGTATGACACTTCACTGCCTCTTCATTATATACCCAGGAAGCAATGCTGATGGATTAGCATCACATCCAAAACAGAAACTGGCACCATCTCAAGACTCACGTGATTTACAACAACTGCTAAGTAAATTAGGATACTTTTTTTAGTTCCTACTCTTCCTTTTTTAAAAATAAATCTTAAGGAAAAACAAACCCAAAGGCCTAACAGGCACACATTTACAGATGGCAGCAGCGGGTCATAAATGACATCTTTTCCTGGTACTATTTATGAGTGCCAAATAAACTGAACATATTATGAGACATTTATAATGTTCTTCAGCAGAACAGTCAGCCAAGAGACGGAGCTGAAAGCCTGTTGTAACAAAAGGTATCAAAGTGAGGAGGAGAACAGTATCTATAATTAGTACTCCGGTGATAAAATAAGCATAGGACAGCAGATGGGTTTAACACAAGATCACTATTAAATAAAACACTGGCTCGAATGCCAAGGAATGAATATTCAAGGGGGAGTGAATTGAGTGAAAGTGTATAAAGGCAGCAAACGAAGCTCAGCTAACCTAGAAGTTACTTGCAACTGTAACCAAAAAGATCAAACCCCACATAATTCTCCATGTTGGTTGAACAGCCCCTCTGCAGTCAAAAACTTTCACGATTAGGTATTAATCAACGCTTACACAAATGACAGGACTGAGCACACTGATAGCACAGGATCCTGACCACGTAACACTGATAAGAAAAGATGTAAAACTCAAAACCAAACCAAAACCAAAACCTAACAATATCAATTTGCAGAGCTTTTTCACTTACCACTTCATAAACTTTTCAGTTCTTCATCAGAAACACACTCTAACTCATCTTTTTGGCAGCTTCATAGTTGTAGAACATTGTTTGACAAAATATGGTCCAACTTACAATCTAAAAAAGGGTTTCTTTTAATTTTTAGAAGTTTTGAAAAATATTTTATGGTCAGAAGTAAGGCTGGAATTAATTAAAGTGAATAAGGCTGCACCATGGAATGTGGAGCTGCAATGCTCATGCTTTAGAGCAGGGCTCCAGCTCTCAGTGGGTTTGGAAGCAGTAGAAAGGATGCCACCACTAACAAGGCATTTTGAGTAATTTTTTTTTTGTCAACTTGCAGTGGTTTTTAAATTAAATGTTTCTGTAAAATGTAATTTCGGTATTAACTATGTATTATCTTCTTTAGCTTGAGACTCAACACTTCAAAGACACACTTCAGAAGCTTGAGACTCACCTGATCAGCTCTCTAAGATCAATTAAACTGTGCTGTAACATGAACAAGGAGAGGACAAACAGTAGTAACAGCAGAATACTGAACCAGAACCAATACAGCATTACAATATAATTTCAGAGTAAAAAGGCATTGAACATCATAAAAGATTCAAACCTAAAGTACCCAAACACTTTCTCAGTGACCCAACCATACCCCTAAAGACTCAGGCTGCATCAGACAAATCCCTCTGCAGATGCTGTGATTGGAAATACAAACCATTCACCGGCGCCTCTCAAGCTGCCTGGGCTCCCAGCAGGTTAGCTGAAGTAGAAAACATATGAGTGGGGCCTGATAAACTACAGAATGTTTAAAAGTTCATTAAAAAAAAAATCTATTTGAAGTAAAGTTTTGCAATCTTGAAGTTAACAGTCTTTACACATTTCAAGAACTAAAGAGATGGGAGACATATAGTCTTGGTGATATGTATATATATGTATATACACACATATAAATACATATATCTATGACGCCAACAATCCCAACAATGGCAATAAAGTAGTTGCTGCCTTGTCTTGATTTTACACTGTTGCACAGGCTCATGTGTTATGAAGGCCCAGTGACACAAAACCCAGACGTAGTACCAAACCCTGCTTCACCTAAACCCTTAGCTTCTGATTCTTTTGGGGAAGAAAATTTTATATTGGAAAACTGGGAACCTGTGCTTTAAGGCTTGTCAAGGGATTAATATATATTTAATGGATGATTAATACATATTTAATGGATGGCCCTTGGAGACTGTAACCTACAGTTTACTAATTTAGGGATGAGTAAGTACGTTAAGGTGTGGCTCCTCCTTTATCACTACACTCATATGTATGCTTTGTATGGAAAACTTTATTTGATAATAAAAATAGCATTCACAGACTTTCTCCTTCTTTGTTGCTACATCATATACATAGTGTCTGTTCCAAGGAAAGAAGCTCGTACTGGGTAAGTCCACATCTACTCATCCTAGTGTTATGTATAAACCCAATAAGTCAAATAAAGCTATGAACAATGTAATATTTATATATGCATAGTGTTTTATAAAAAAGATTGGCCCACATACTGCTTTTCATCAACACAGAAAAGAGCATTATGTCTATAGCACATTGCAAGAAATGATGATTGAAGAACATAGACTGCATACAAGTGCTTAATAATACGTAAGCAGGCCCACCATGAAAAAAGAAATGATATTCAAACCAACAAAAGCTTTAGAATTACTTATATAGTCTCCCATTTTAAAACAGCTTTACATACCTGATTCAGTTTACATTAAAATATATCCCCTGAATCAATTTGTTCCATTTTCAGAAATATAAACACTTAATCACATTCCTCACAGCTAAATTTTGTCATAAATCCTCTTTTATACAAGAAAAAGGCAACAGTTTTGTTTTTTTTTCCAACAGGCTCTATTAATTACAATTTAAACTGTACACACAATGATCGGCCATCTTCTTTCTTGGTTTTGTTTTTACAGTACCATGGCAACAACAGTGATAGACTTGCAATGTTTTTGTGTTCATATGGAAAATGTGAAACAGTATACATGTACACACCAATGCACTGTAAAAAGCAGCAGTTTACTTCAGTGGTCCAACAGTAACGGCAAACATTTTGGCTCAGCTAGGCAGTAATCCATTAAAATCTTATACCAATACCACAGCAGACTTACCACACAACTTGCAAATTTAAAAATACAACTTAGAAACTTGCAGGTTTCCCTTTCCCTCTGCTGTTCTTAGAGTCAAATTTACAGCATATAACCAGTATGGATAGGCTTCTACAACCAGGTTGTCCCACTGATTGCCTCTTTTTGCCTGTGTTTTTCCTTGGATACATCTTTTTTTTTCTTTTTTTTCCTTTTTTTTTTTTTTTCCCCAGCAAGTGCACTCCTTTTGTCTCAGTAAGGATGAACCAGTAAAATAAAAAACTTAAATATAGAGCGAGAAGAAGAGAGAGCTTTTGGAATTTGGCAAAATAAGAAAAGCCCACTGGTTTTGCCTGAGCAGAAGGAATACACCTACTCCGAGGGAGGACTTTGCTCCCACCGCATTGTGCCTTGTCCCGGGATCCCGATCCCTTCCCTTGCTTCAAAGCAGACAAACAATACCATGCATGCTCGGGTTGCTGTCCATATACATCTAGAAGATGAGCAGGGCTGCGGCGGCTGCCTTAATGAAATATCGTTAAATGTTGCTGAGGCTAATGAGAGATCAACAGTCTACGTTAGTGTGTGACACAGGCATGGTGGTTACCAGTCCTTCTGCCTTTGCGCATCCTGTAGAGGGGGCCTGAAAGTATAAACTGTTCATGGAACAAACTAGAAATTCCTTATCGTAAATCATCTTGTGCTGTGTGGGTTTGTTTTTTTTTTTAATTATTTATTATTATTATAAATATCCTTCATTGAAACAGTAGTCTCTTCAAACAGTTCTTCAATTTTA